ACAGCCCCTGAGGCTGAGGCCCAGGGGTCCTAGTGCTGTACCAACTTGGGCTAGTCCTTTCCCCTTTCTGGGCTTTCCTTTCCCTGTCTGTGCAATGAGGGAGTTGGATGAAGAAAGAGCCCCTCATTCATTCAGCAAATACGTATTGACTGCCCAGGAGATGTTGTGGTGACAAGATGGAGGAGGTCCCTGCCCGACATTCTAGCAGGGAGGCAATCACAAGTAAATGGCCATTTCACAGGACAAGTGCAATGACAAAATAGGGCAACAGGGTAGACGGGATTGGGGAGGGTTATTCTAGACAGGATAGTAGCACTGATTTTGTGAGTGTCTATATCAGGCATCCTCAAACTACGGGCCCGTGGGCCACATGCAGCCCACCTAGGACATTTATCCAGCCCGCCAGGTGTTTTTGCCACCACTGCCTGTCCTGCTTAGCAGCCCACTCGTCCTGGGGCCCTCAGTCCAGCCCTCCAGTGGTCTGAGAGACAGTGAGCTGGCCCCCTGTTTAAAAAGTTTGAGAACCCCTGATCTATATCAACATGCAGCTTGAGAAGAATGGCAGATGGTCCCAACAGACAAGTGTCAAATTACAGCTGATTCCAGACCTGTTTTCCTTACACTTAGAGCACGGAGGTTAAGGAGGGGTGGCTGGAGTTGGGCAGGAGGAAGTAAGGGAAGGGGGTTATTGCAGGATCTATCAATGCTTTATAGCCTTGAGCAGGGCTCTGGTTATCAGACACCATCAGGTGGGGCAGGGGGAGGCATCCCCGGCTTTGAAGTCACTTGAAGTCACTTGTGCTAGGGTTTGAGTTCCAGTCCTCTCCACTCTTAGCCATGTGACCTGCAGGAAGTTGCACGACCTCTGTGAACCCCACTTTCTGTAAATCAGTACGCTAATATTTTCCTTGAGAATTACTATGATGATTGAGAGAACACATTCTAGCCAGGACCTAGCATGGAGTGGGTGCTTACATTCATGCATCGAATACTCATCCAGACCCACCTTGGCTCTCGTGCAATACGCCTGCCAGTTGAGCTCCGGATCACGTAGTACGTCCAGGGCCATGTTACAGGTTCCAATGGCCATATCCTGCTTTCCTAGAAAGTGGAAGATTTTGGCCAGGCGATTCAGGATGGGAGGTTGATCCTTGGCAATCTCAATGGCCTAGGTAAAGGAGAAGGGTGAGAGCAAACCACTTTCTGTTTGTTAGCCAGAACCGCAGGAGGCCTGTCTCTGCATGAAGCCGTATCACCACGGTGCTCTTTGTCTCCATAGCTACCCATGTCCACCTGCCCATGAGTTCAATGACAATGTGGAACCCAATGCTTTGAGTCACAGCCCGCTGGCACTAAACTCCGGAGAGCCATAGTCCCCAGTCATGTCCAGCAAACCTTTCCAGCACCCAGACAAATCTGTCCTTCCCAGTGTGTGCTCCCCTGCTTGCTGGGGCAGGTGACAGGAAGGGCCAGAGTCAGCCTCCACCTCCCCCATCCTTACAAAGTACAGGCTTCTGTCTGGGCCACAGCACTTCAACCCTCTGTTGTTACTGACTGCAGCCTGTTTTAAGTGTCTTGCTTTAGAGTCACGGGGCCTGGGGGCAGAGCTAAAGCCATCTTTCCACTATGCCATTGGAATGGGAGGGAGAGAACTTCCTGCAGAGGGAATATGGTGAACAAAGGTCTCATGGGGAAAAGTCTCAAGGTCTCTATCAAGGCTGCCAAAGTGGGCTTCTGGGTCAGACCGGGTGTGGGGAAGGTCTTAGCTTTTGGCACAGGGGAACAGTGACCAGGGAGCACTTTTTGTTTTTTTTTTAACGAAGACAGGATGGTGAGAAAGGTCCGAGTAAGTATAATTCCTGGGGTGGTGGGGGACATGGTGAGGGACAGTACCCAGAGAAGGTGGGCTGTGGGAGGAGACGCTGGGGGACTGGGCTCCTTCCCCACTTGGATAGTGGGTGTGGCTCAGGGATAGGTACCTTGCCAAAACAATCCAGAGGGTCGGTCCCCGAGTACCCACAGTCATGGACACCCATGGGGGTGGTGGAGAACGTATCCTTCCTCTCCAGCAGCATCCCGAGGTAGCACCAGGCTAGAGCTGGGGGTGAAGGATGAGAGAGTGTCTCTGAAGGGGTGTCTATGAAGTAGCAGGAGGGGGAGAGGAAGGAGAACCATGAGGAGGGAGGGGGGCAGGCCCACCCGAGGTGTTACCCTCCTGACCGAGGGAGGGACAGTGGTGTGCAGTCACTGTGGGCATCCCAGGAACGGAGAGAATCAAAGATGGAGAGGGGACAGGGGAGGGGTGAGTGAACGCATTTTGGTGCTTATTCTCTGCATTCAGTATATCGCCTTGGGGGCCTCACTTCAGGGACATAGGTTTCTTCCGAGGTCAACTCTTCACCAGCTCTGGTGGTTTAGTCCCTGCCCTTGCTGTCTGGCTCTGAGAGGCAATGACTGGACTCCTTCCCAACAGAACCTTCACTCACCCCTCCGACCAACCATAAAATGGGGGCAGTAGGCAGAAATGGGAGAACTGTCTCTCTCCCCTTCCAGGTCACAAGCTGCAGACCTGGAAAGCCATTGCAGTGACTTGCAAATGGAACGTTTGAATGTTCACACGAGCAAGGTGTGTGGCTTCGTGAGGTGAACCAATGAGTGTAGGAGACAGGGCAAGGGAGAAATTGCCAGAACTGGGGACAATGCCTGAGGCAATGGGGGTGGGCGCAGGGCGAATGGGCAGAGGCCGGTGACCCACCCACCCTCTAGCCCCTACCTCGGTGGTGGGGGTCTGAGGACTTGAGCACTTGCCGGAGCAGGGCCAGCGTGCGGTTGAAGGCAGGCAGCCTCTTCTGCTCCTCGCTGCCCAGCTCCAGGAAGATGCCATCTAGCCTGTGGCCAAGAAGGGAATGGGGCTGGTTGGCACCTGCCCCAGCTGTCTCTGGTGTGCTGTGAGCCCTGCCCAGGCCAATGGTAGGGAGCGAGCCTCGGGAAGCTCTTGCCATGGGCTCAGCTCGGCCACCTCTGCCCTTGCCCTTCTGCCTGGGTGCCAGGCCACACCTCCCCGACCCCCACGCCCTGGCCTGACCTGAGGAAGAGTGTCGCCATGGTGAAGTACCAGCCTCTCTTCTCCTCCACGGGGATCTAGGGAAGCAAAGAATGGCCACGCTGCTGTCAGTGAGGTACTTGGGCCATTGTTCCCCCACTTCCCCTGAATCCCAAGGGGCAGCGAGCACAGCAGGAAGGCCCCAAGCACCCTAGATTTCAGTTCTGTCTCCGCCAGTGACTGGCCGGGTGGCCTTGGGCAAGTCACTTCATTTCTCTGCCCACAGAGGCTTGGAGATGAGCAGTCTGAGTGCCCCCAGTGAGGTGCCTGCCACCCTCCCCAGGGCCCCCAGCCCACCTTCTCTCCCCTTCACTGCCCACCTCTTCTCCCACAGGTGCCTTCCCTCAGCCTCCACCTTTCTGAAAAGGCCCTGGGCGCATGTTAAGGGTGTCCAGCCCAGCCGAAGCCCAGGACCTCCTGCACG